TGTGGGGGGGGGGGTTAATTATTATTCTTGAAACTGTAAAAATATTATTCCCGACTTACTTTAAGGGTGGTGGTTTAGTTCTCCATCTTGTGATATAAACAAACTTGAGAGTATGATCTTTAGGGATTAGTTCCCCATCACATGTAATATCCAGCTCCTAAACAAAATACCATTATTTTTCCAAACATATAAACTATACAAACCCATGCAATGCAATGTCTATATTGAACAAAAATGAATTTGAACAATTTTAAAGATGAACGAATAAAGAAATATACGAGTAATCAGATAAATGAATGAAAAGATGAACGAATGAACAAATGAATGAATGAAAAAATAAATGAATGAAAATTAAACATATAAACGAATTAAGGAATGAAGAAATTAAGGAAAGAACTAATAAACGAATGAACAATTAAACATATAAACGAATAAAGGAATGAAGAAATTAAGGAAAGAACTAATAAACGAATAAGTGAATGAACGAAATAAACGAATAAACAAATGAATGAATGAACAAATAAAAGGATGAACAATTAAAAATATGAGCGAATAAAGGAACTAAGGAATGACCTATTAAACGAAATAAAAGAAAGAACAAATGAACAAATAAACGAATAAATATAAACATTAACAAAATAAATGAATGAATGAGTTGATTACCCTGAAGTTCTCCATGGACTCCAGGCATCTCAGAGCAATAAACTTCTTCAAGTGGGTGATAGTAGCCAAACTAATTAATCAATCAATCAATCAAATGCAAAAGAAATTTATCAAATTAATTAATCAATCAAATGCAAAAGAAATTTATCAAATCAATTAATCGAATCTATTAATCAATCAAATACAAAAGAAATTTATCAAATCAATTAATCAATCAAATGCAAAAAAAATTTATCAAATAAATCAATTAATCGAATCTATTAATCAATCAAATACAAAAGAAATTTATCAAAATCAATTAATCGAATCTATTAATCGACCAAATACAAAAGAAATTAATAATACGTGATTCAGTCAGATCACTATTTGAATACATATCACTATTGAATTAGCTTTTTATATATTTAGGGGATTACTTGAAAATACGTCAACATCTACACTCTACAGAGTCCCTCTAATAATTAATGATAATGTTATTCAAACATGAAAATTAAGTGATTACCTTGAACATCTGACAAACTTTCTCTTGAGCTCCTTCATCCCAGATCCAGGTTTAGGTTCAAGGACAAGGTTGACCTGCTCATCAAACCTAGACACAACACGCTGGTCAAGGGGGATATCATCATATTTAGGAAAGGGGTATACGAAACTTTCTCGAGAAAATGGGATTTAAATGATCCTTGAGATCCCCCCTCTCCTCTATCCGGGGGATGATTGTATTGATGCTCTGGGGAATATATACCTTAAATATAAATTTTTCAAAAATATCTAATATCAAATTTTTTTCAATAATGAATTTTGGAATTACTAGTACTTTTTTTTATCCGGGTCAACGGCTCAATTCTTTCCCATGCTTCAGTTTTTCAGTTTTGATTTCCTTGGTTTCAATTGAAAAAAAAAACTCTTAATCCATGTTTAACAAGAGTTTAGCAAGTTACCCAATACACCACCCAATAATCCTTCACGAATTATTAAACATACTTTACAGTGTGAATGACAAGTGCATTTCGATATGATTTGGGCGCGAATATATATTTCTTTAAAATTATCGTCAAAAACAAATTTCTAACTTGAATTAATGCGTAACTAAAAATTTTACCTGTGGTAATCTAGGTTTGTATTTACATCCGGGGTTTGATCCTCCTCTTCCTTTTTAAGCTTCTCATCCTACAAAACCAAACCCATCGTCGGAATACAGAAGAAGAATACAGAGCTCGGTTAGAATACATACGTAGAATACGAAGATTGGTCGGAATTCACCAGAAGAATTAAGGTCGAAATTACAGGAGTAAAATGCAGAAATTAATCGAGGAACATAAGTATAATACCGAGATTTTGGGTTTATGAAAGTTAAATACAACGATTGGTGGGTTAACAAAAGTGTAATACAGAAACTGGGTTTTAAAAAGTAGAATATAGAGATTGGTCGGGATACAAAAGCAGAGCATAAATTCTAAAAAATGGGGTTAAATGAATATTAAATATTTAAACCCTTATCAAAACATAGTATCTGTTCAGTATACAAAAAGAAAATTAACCCTGAGTATTATCGTAGAATTTAATATTTTCAACCCTTCCTTAATTCACGTAACTCCTTTAGGATGTTTAATAATCATGGGGGGGGGGCAGAGATGGAGGTAGTTATTAAAAAGAAGAAATGAATATTATAAAAAAAATTATGGATTTAAGGTTTCCCTTTTCAGTTTCTGCCTCCACGTCCTTAGGACACGGAACTCCCTTTTCAGCGTAGAAATCACGTTCCCTAGAATATTATTATTATCTAAATCAAATTGTTAACAAAAAATTTACACTTTAATGTAAACAAAAAGCGACAGTGGAACAATTAACCCCCTTTTTCTAAGTATGGATGAGAAAGGTATTTTAGTTTGTTCCTTTAAATTGCTTTGATATTAATTTTTAAATATTATTTGTAAAGATNAAATTCGGTGATGGTGATGGACCAAACCTCTATAGAGTAAAAAAAAGTAGATGTTAGTTCCACATTTATTGAAAATATATTTCGGTCTGGGTTGACCCTCGTCAGTTCTTGAGATTGTTTCTGTCAGAAAGATTAAAAACAAATTTCTATTTATTATTGAAAATCATCCTTCGCTAGGACTCAATAAATAAATATAAAAACGTCACTATCTTTCTCATTGGGACTCAGTTAATAGTTTAAAGGGTACAATTGTCAACCGAGTATGCTACCCTATGAATGGGTTGTCACAGTCCCTTTAAGAAGAAAGATTTTGTTGAAAATCCACGAAACTGTTTCATGCACTTGAACCAACAAGAAACTACATAGTCCGTTTACCTCTTATACTCGTTCTTCTCTAGGTTAGGGACGAGTTTATAAACCAGATCCTGCATCGTCCTGTCAAACTTGATGAAGTTTAGGGGATGCGACTGATGGATAACTTCATCGCACTAAAAATATAATTATGGATAAAAACTCATGAATAACCTAAAAACATATTTTTTCAATGTTACAAAAAATGAAATAATTTGTTATAATTTGCATATCTTAAAGTTCCATTAATCTTATCGATGTTTTCAAAACAATATCCTCGTTGATATCACACTAAAACAAATTTTAGTTTCATAAAATCTTAAAATTAATTTGTTTAAGGATTTAACATCTAGCCGATCTTTTTCATCGTTTTTAAACATTATCTCCAAAAAATTATAAATCACTAACAATTCTCATTAAACTTCTTAACAACTTTATTCAATACAAAACAAATCAACAATAGTATTTTCATTTATAGAATCATAGAGAGAAAAAAACGTCTCATTCTATCTTCGTACCTATTGCTGTAATGAGTTGCTTTTCGCAGAGCTCTCCATTAATTAAGGTTTAATCAAAAATAGTTTTGCAATAGTTTAAACAGTAAACATGAATGATCTATTTTGGCGTTTGATTTGGACTGTATTATTATGAACGGATCTTTATCTATGAAATATGTAAACTGTCGTCAGTCATTTAAAATAATTTTCAAAAAAGGAGAAAAACAAAAAATAACAAATATAGTTATATAATATCAACTAAAAACATGATGACCTGTGGACATGTATTATTATCATCTGAGTTTAGATGTTTGACAATACATGACTTGCAGAAGGTATGGAGGCATTCAACAATAGTGGTGGCATCAATCAAATAGCCCTAAAAACAGAATAATTAATTTCTGGTATAATCCTAAGAAATACTGCCTATTCCCCCTTCCTTCCTCCTCCACACAACCTTAGTGGCTATCTAGTATCTATCTAACTTAACCTAATTTTTTCAATTGATTTTAGATCTACTTTCGTAGTCAGCACTAGAAATAATTTTTATCATCGGCCTGTAGACGGGTGAATACTATACATATACATCCTAGCTCTAATTTGAATTAAGAAACTAGTAAATTTAGGATCAAAAGACTCAGGCAGAGAAACTTCTTCTCAAACAGTTGATAACACCTTCAGTTTAAAAGTACCTAAAATGATCCAGATGAATGTTCTTAAAAATATTCTTTTAATATCATACATCTAAAACCTGTTTAGGGTGCATTTTTTAGGAAACTTTGAATTTGGGTCTGTCAACCCTCGTGCATCTGACACTTTACGTTTGTGACAATTGACATGTTTAGTTTGGCGAATATACAATCAAATCAAAAATGTAACTGCTGCCTGATCCGAGATCGAAAAAATCCGGATAATTTTTTCACAGGTTCCGAATCCACAAACATTCGGGGTGGATATGAAAGGAAGTCCTCAAATGGAAAAATGTACTTTTATGGAACGGGGACGTTGGTATGTTTTTTCAAACAATTCCCTGAAAATCATTCCCAACACAATAACTTACCGAGCATATTTTGCAAGTAATCATCTCGTTAATGTCGCACATGCGAATCGAACGTTCTGTAGCTCCCCCTGACATCTTGAAGTTGTTTTTGGAAACCTAACGAAATAAGGTCGCCTTGGCTCTCAGTGCATATTAGATCTGAAAGAACAAGTATAAAAATAAAACAAAAAACAAAAACATTGAAACTTTGTGATGTAAAATGTTACTTGGTCGTGATGTGAAAACACGAAACATGGTTTAAAATAAAAACAAGGCAAAAATAATAAAATGCAAGGTAACCAAAGTTACAAAATTTATCACACATTACGACTTGGAAAAGTTTAGATATTGACACCATCTTGGTTCTTAATTCTTGATTCATGATGAAACAAATTCAAAATATGTTTTGGAACGAGATGCTCTCGATTCTATAAATGGTTTGGAATTCATTGCTTCTGAACTGGATGATCATTGATCCATTTTCCAAATTCTGAAGATTTTGGATTTTGGAACTCAATAAATGACGGCTTGGAACTAAACGCTCTGAATTCCGACGTAGGTTGATTAGTTGGAACTTGATGCTTCTGTTTTAGAGGATGGATTTAAACTCAATGCTTTAAAGTCAAAGATAGCTTGGGGATTGATGGTCTGACATCTCAGGATAAATGGAAATTCAATCACACGGTGCCTTCCATACAAATCACAGGTTCTCTGAAAAACAAATAATTATTTTTAAAGCCAATTTCATTTTTTGAATTATTGTTTTTAACTGTTTTATTTTTGAAATTAAAGTTTTCTATGGAATTTCTGTAGGAAGACTGAATAGGAGAGTGAACTGACAGCAGCAAGGGGGGCGAGCCGCGACAGCTCACACGCTCAGTACACGAGGGAGNTATCTGACGTGTAAATATGTACCTCTTCGCCAAATCTAACCAGCCGTCAGACTTGCGTCGGAGCGGCTGCCTAAATCACAATACAAAACATACATTTACCAAGTTCTGTAGATATCCAGGTAGCTATTAGATATCCAGCAACTAGTGGATATATATTTACCAAGTTCTGTAGATATCTAGGTAGCTATTAGAAATCCAGCAACTAGTGGGTATATATTTACCTAGTTCTGTAGATATCCAGGTAGTTTCATTCTCATGAATATCCAGCAGCAACTGAAGGATATTATAAGAGCTCCAAATCCCTAAAAAAATATTTTGGAAATTTAAGGTCAATTTCCGATTTATTTCATTTGTTTTTAAGCTTTTAAGAAGAATATTTTTCTGGGTTAAACTTGTATTAATAGAATCAAGGCTTTAAAACTAAAAAATAAAGATTTGCCCAGTATGATTCGAATTATCCAGACATTTTTGTTAAAAAAAGAAAGGGAAAAATAATTTAACTTACCACAAATTGTAACATGAGTCTGTTGAACTTTGGTGTCAGTGGATTGTGAGTCTGATCCAGGATAATCATTCCAGCCCCACCCAGAGTAAACATGAAACTAGATAAAACCAGTTTAAACTCCACAGAGTAAACATGAAACTAGATAAAACCAGTTTAAACTCCACCCAGAGAAAACACGAAACCAGATAAATCCAGTTTAAACCCCACCCAGAGTAAACATGAAACTAGATAAAACCAGTTTAAACTCCACCCAGAGTATAAACATAAAACTAGATAAAACCAGTTTAAATTCCACCCAGAGTAAACATAAAACAAGATAAAACCAGTTTAAACTCCACCCAGAGTAAAAATGAAACTAGATAAAACCAGTTTAAACTCCACCCGAGTAAACATAAAACTAGATAAAACCAGTTTAAACTTCACCCAGAGTGAACATGAAACTAGATAAAACCAGTTTAAATTCCACCCAGAGTAAACATGAAACTAGATAAACCCAGTTTAAACTCCACCCAGAATAAACATGAAACTAGATAAAACCAGTTTAAACTCCACCCAGAGTAAACATGAAACTAGATAAAATCCAGTGAAATCTTCGGTTTTCAGATCCCAGCGGGTATTGAGCCTCCCTCCCCTTGGAAAGAAAAAATATAAGCCCCTCCCTGGACAAATTCCTGAATACGCTCCTGAAAAAGTTTAATAGATCGTAGAGGATGAATCAAAATCAACTCATAAATCAATTTAAACTCCATTTATTAAAATCCAATGCGATGCTAATTTGGGTACAGTACCCTTTCTTTACTATACCTGGTATGCCCATGTTCATCAGTTGTACTGCCAACACTGGGAGGTTCAACAATAACATCGTAGATAATTCCTCCTAGAAAATATATTAGCGTGATGAAGGCTAACGTACTGTACATTATACACATTGACTGTACTGTACAGTGTACCATGATAATAGATCACGTGGATTTGACAGTTCGGACCTTATCCTGTGACTTTTGATCACAATTTGACCTATGAAACATTTTTCGCCTTTTCTCTTGAATGCTTTTTGTTGTTTATGCGTTTTGAAAGAAAAAAATTTAAAATCGGTAACTTGTGAGTTTAAAGATTGTTTAATTGTAGACAAAAAAGCGATTGAATTCAAATATAGGAAACCGAAATAGTAAATATCCAACGTGGGATATATACAATCAGCTAATTTTAACTGCTTGAAGTAAATTATATAATTATAGTTTTAAAACCATAAAATTTTATCGATAAAAGATGACAAAGTTTAAATTTTCATGAAAAAAGATTGTTACAACTAAGTAGTTTTTATGTACTACTGAATCTAAAACATATGTACTGTTTGACCTGTGAACAAGTACAATTAGACATGTATTATATTCGACCCTTGACACATTTACTGTTTGCTCTATATACAATATACATTGTACATAAAACTCATGTACTAACAGACCTAAAACATGAGTACTTTAAGACATCCAAACATATTGTGATGTTCTTTCAGTTAAGTCTATGTACTCTGTGGCCTGTATCATGAGTAATATTTGACCTGCAACTGTAAACTTGTGTACTATCTGACTTGAAAATATGTACTACCTGACGTGTAAGTATGTACTACCTGACGTGTAAATATGTACTACCTGACGTGTAAATATGTACTATCTGACTTGTAAATATGTACTACCTGACGTGTAAATATGTACTATCTGACGTGTAAATATGTACTACCTGACGTGTAAATATGTACTACCTAACGTGTAAATATGTACTACCTGACGTGTAAATATGTACTACCTGACGTGTAAATATGTACTACCTGACGTGTAAGTATGTACTACCTGAAGTGCAAATATGTACTATCTGACATGTAAATATGTAGTCTCTGACATGTAAATATGTACTTTCTGACCTGTAACTAGAAAGTAGGAAAGCAGAACAAACGCGAACACCGTGTATGGTGCCGGGGTGTGAATCCAGGAAGGTCTGACAAATTAAACAAAATATTTATTAGATATATGGGGGGATAGAAGGGGGGCTTCAGTGGTTTATTTAAAGAATTAGGTATTATTTGTACACAACAAAAAAGCATTAATTTTTGCTGAGTTTAACAAAATTCACATTAAGAGAAAAACATTTTTTGGAAAGAGGACGGGGAAAACAATCTATTCTAAAAAAAAGCAGCAAGAAGTCTTACCAAATTAGGGGATGCGAAAGTAATTTTTGAAGGGTAACTGGAAAATTATTCTAAATATGAGAATAGCCCATATTATCAAATTACCTTTTCAGTTTGAGTTCTGGAACTTTTAGTACAGTAAAAATTGGTTGAAGTATAATGTCCATTTTAAGCCTGAAAAAATTGTTCTAAAAAATTCGCTCACAGCACCGTTGATAATGTGGAAGTTGACAAGACATGTACTATTTTTTAAACGTAAAACTTTTCCCGTTGTTCTTAGTTTTCTGTTTTGTCTTGTCCATTCGATTGTTCTTCTTATCATGTCGCACTGGATTGAAATCAGATCGATCCTGTCGACTTTTCTCAAACATCTTGTCGTAGTCGACATTAGTGTAGTCGAACCCAGCACCGGTCTTAGGGATTTTCGACTCGAAAGGAACTTCTTCGTCACTTTTCCTTTTCTTTTTCTTCTTCTTCTCCATTATTTCTTCCTAAAGATTCATTATATTATCATAAAATTAGTAATTTGAGCAAAAAAAAAACGGCCGAGTCTTTTACAACAAAAAAACTAGTTTCCAATTTAAGAGCTATTCTTTCCTCCACTATGTGAGTGAGAAGGGGGGGGGGTAATAATAAAAATAAATAAAATCCTGCTATTTAAGTAAGATGAGGTTGAGGTTATTCTCATCTATCTATCTATATTTATATTTGTATTAAGTCATGGTTTATACCATACAAGCTAAAGTTTCCTCAAAAAATGTCAGCCCATTTGATCCAGCAATTTGGCCAGCTATAGCTAACATATATATACAAATAAATATTTATATATGAGCGAAGAACTTCATTATATATACACTTACAGTGGTAGGCGATTATATCAATAAAATAAAGACGATTTTCGTTTTCAATATTTATTTATTTTAAGCTGTTAAACAGCATGGATACACATACATATAGATTAGAAGTCAAGAGAATATGTCAATTGAAAAATCTTCTCTTTGATTACTTGTTAACTTGTAGTTCGAAAAAAGCTTCTTAAAATCAAAACTTTTTAAAAAATCGTCTTCATTGTTTTGATGTAATCGCCTGCCACTGTAGATGAGCGAAGAGCTTTACTCCATAGATATTATAACTATACCTGGACAAGTTTATTTTCTATCTCTAGTTTCCTTTTCTCTGCTTCCTTCTCAACCTGTTCAAGCAATCTCGCCTTCTCAGCAGAATCAGGCACACTTCTACAAATATAAAACTATTAACAAAGCTAGAGTACCCGGTGTTGCCCAGGTTTATATTATTGTTCAGTCACAGCTACTCCTGCCGTTTACCCGCACTTGGCAGCAAATGACGATTTTAGCTGAAGTGCCTGGAGTTGTCCGTGAAATTTCAAAAATAGAAAAAAATTTGGCCTACGTCAACCCCGGGGTACCTATGGTTTCCAACAAAAAATTCTGCCAATTTGGTCCAGCCGATTGGGATATAGGTAAAGTAATAATTTTGATGTTTATCTTAATAATATTTAATTTCATCTTTCGTTTTTTCACATTAATCAGTAATCACCCTGTAAGAATATAATAAATATGTCTCTAGAGCTTTCTTTGTTAGCTTAGCATAGGCGCTGAGAAAGCTCTATCCTTAAATGCTGGAATGCTAAATCAGACCATACATAAACAGGAGGGTAATAATCAGAAATATATGTGTCAAAATGCATTTTTCCCTTGTCTACAAGGGATTAGAATGCGTAGATCTAAAAGAGAGGAACAGAAAACAGATCTATGATCAGATAAAAAGAAGATACAACAGTCGGAGAAAAATATTAACTGCTCTTTATAAATTTTGTTTTAAAAAGATTTTTTAATTTAAAATTAATTTTTAACTTATTCTCTTTCTCTAAAAATTTAATCTTTTTGACTAGGTATTGTCAATTTCCAAATCCGATTTTAAAACAAATTGTCATTGTCAAAAATGTGTTTGTTTTCATCACTGAATTAAGTTTTTTGTCTGTTTTTAGAGTAATTACAATTAAAAAGGTTAAAATGAAAATATTTCCTACTTTTTATCCACGAAACGCATTTTTTTAGGAAGTGGACCATTGGACTTCCGGTAGGGTAAAACCTCTTCATCAGATTCAAGATCTAAATTTGTTTATTGTTGATTATTATTAATTATAATTAATTGACATTTTCTTTCGAGGAGGTATACACTATGCTGTAAGGTGAGAAAAAAAAACCTAAGTCGCCATTTTGCAGAAACTAAAAGAAAAATAGAATAAAAAAGTTTTTTGAGAAAAACATGTTTTTTTTTATTCTTCGAGTAAAATAAATTTGCTGTTCTTAATGATATAAATATTTACTTTGAACTTCTTCCTCTTCCTCTTCTTCTTCTTCAATCTCTACTTTCTGAAATAAATTCAATTTTATCAATTCAATTTGAATAAACAAAAACATTGGTAATTAACGAAGAATTTCAGGATTTTAACGAAATGTGTAAAAAGGTCCCAGAAATACAAATTTTTTCATACGTTCAAAATTCATTAATTCCACAATTTACAGGGACTGTCTACTGTCTAGTGTCTAAATCAAATCAAATCATATTGTACAGGAATTGCTTGAGACATCCTTCTTTTGGGTTAGAGTTTTAATTCTTTACCAAATTTCTAGATTTTCAGTCCGATCTGTATTTGCGTAGTTCAATNCCAATTAAATATGTAAATCATTAAAAAGAGTATGAAATATCAATTTCAGCTGAGACTACGATTTAAAGGGTACCGTTGTAAATTGGGGATGCAACTTTTTATAAATCTAGGGTCACTTGATATTACGTGGACAGTCTCTTTTAAGTATTACTTAAAGAAAGCTTTAATTAGATTTTTTAAGTTAATATTCTACCTTAGGTTTCGGTGTCATATCCGTCAACTTTTGGAAGTGCAGTTTTATACTTTCCAGTCGTACATCGGCAGATTTAACCTAAACCAATCAATATTTAATTTTTATGTACTTTTTATAAACATCGAGTATGTTTTTGTAAATAAATAAAAGTTTATTTTGTAAATTTATTCAAACATAAAAATGATATTCCAATAATAATGCTTTAACAACATTCATGGATTTATATTTCACAAAGAGATATAATAATTATTGTAATGTTTAAAATTAATTATTATAAATATTAATAAAATTTTTGTTAAAACCTGTTGGTTGGCTGAGTCTGGTTCATCTGATTTCTTCAAACTCTCTAGATAGGGTCGCAGCATTTGGTATCTCTAAAAATAATTTATTTACAATATATTGGGACATATTTATATTTTCAAGAATTCTCTCAAAAATAAAGTTACTGTTCCCCCAGTTTGTAAGGAATGTAAGACATTAATGGACTCTTTTTCGTGAAATGGGAAAATTATATGATTTAAAGGAGAAAGTAAATGAACTTTTTGTTTAAAAATTTAGAACCTGGGGAAGGGGAACTCCACTTTTTTTCCCCTGAATATTCGAAAATCGTTTCCTTTAAATAAACAGCCCTGCATCTATTAAAAAGTAAAAAAACAAGAAGCACCTGGAAAGGACTGATAAACTTCTCAATCTCATTCTTCTTCTTTTTCTCCTTCTTCTTCTTTTTCTTCTTCTCTTCGTCCTTGACATCAAAGACCCCGAGTGAAGATTTCTTCTTGATTAAATTATTATTCATCTTCGGAGAAAACTCCATTATCTCTCCCTGCTTGGAGACAAGCGTTTTTAATCCTGTTCCGAGTTCCGATAGGTTGGACAGCTCTAGCGGACATTTTAGCGGATTTTCATTGTACTCGTTCTCGTTTCCCGCCACCTCGTTCTCCGTGTTATTGAAGGAACCGTGGATGTCAGAGTCCACGGTCTGCAGCGTCTTATTTCTAGCCTAAGGTAAATTAAATATTTTTAGATGAACAAGTTATTGCTCTCCAAATAAGTGTAATAAGAAATTAAATCAATTTTGGTCTCCTTCAGTTTTAATAAGGGTGAAACTTATTTAATTGAAAATGTCAAATCCTCCTTGCACCAGCGAAACAAATACAGTAGCAAATTAGAACCAACTTTTATAAAAGAAAATAATCAAAACTCATTCAGTAATTAACGATTTAAAAAATAGCGATCATGAGGGAAGGTCGATTTTTTAATTTTTCAAGACATGTTGATTTGGGAATCAAAAGATGCATCTTGAACCGTCCATTTATCCATTTTTCGATATTTTACTTAAGGCTAAAAATGTGGGTTTTTTTGCTTCTAATTTGCAATTTTTCAATGAATTTTTACGAATTTAACGTTTTTGAACTCTGTGTTTTAAGAAATTTTGATACCCATCTTGATTTATTTTGACATTTTTTCCGGCTTTAATTAGTGATTTGATTCACACAAAAAGCACAAATCTGAATGAGTTTGATAATTTAAAAAAATTATCAATGCTTTTTTTTTAAACGTATCAAAGAAAACTTCAGAACTGGTGCAAGGTGGATTCAAGCATTTTCATCAAAAAATAGCGACAACCTTGGTTTAAAATCATATCTTGTGAAAAAAATCTTTCTTTTCAAGACACTTGAAACTACTTTTAGAAATCTTGCTTTAAAAAAATTAACGAAATCATAAAAAATACTTTTTTCATTCCCGGTAAAAATGATTACCTTGAGTATAACCATGTGTAAAGACTGAAGATGTTGTTTGACTAGAGGAGGTACAGGGTTACAGCACGCTAGGATACCCTACACAGTTTATAGTGGTCACTGATCACTCATCAGCTTATATATTTATAATATATTAGAGAGGGTACAGGGTTACAGCACGCTAGGATACCCTACACAGTTTATAGTGGTCACTGATCAGTCATTAGCTTCTACATTTAATGTGCTAATACAGTGTACAATTAACGTGCATTATACAGGGAAATATAAAATCAAATCAAATCAAAACAGAATGTTAGGGATGTCCTGCCGACCACATTTCAAAATTGAGATAAATTTACTATATCAAAAATAAAGAGGGATATATATATCTTGGAAAATACCCCCCCCCCTCCTCTAGAAGCTTTTTAACTCCATTTTGATCACCCAAAAATGATTTATTTTCCCCATACATATATGTTACAATTATTTATTTTCATTTTTTAGCTTACATTTGCACAAAGTACACTCTACATGAAATTCATTCGGGTGGCAAAGAGGTGGCAACGGAAGGGGGGGGGGTGACATTAACTCGCCGGTATTTTTCCTTCATTTTGATCCTTCCAAATTAATTTATTTACCCCAAAGAAGCAAGAGAAAAAACTGCGGAATATTTTTACCTGCATCTCCCTCGGTAGTTCGGTACATATCTTGAGAAGCATATGGTTTGGTAGAATATATTGGGTACTCTCATCCTCAATCCTAGCTACACCATCCCTCCAGCTGTACAGTTCCTGAGCAATCAATCAATAAAATATTTGAGCAAGCAATAAATCAATCAATGAAACATTCAACTAATCAATCATACAGCCAATCAAACAATCATTGAAACATTCAATCAATTAATCATTTTAACATTCAATCAATCAGTCAATGAAACATTCAATCAGTAAAAAATAAAAACACCCAATCAGTAAATCAATTAGTTCTTCAATCAGTTAATCAATCCAAACATCTCCAGATACAAGTATAAGCCATTCTTTATAAAATAGTTCATTATTCGATTGATTTATCATTTCAAGCGTCATTTCATTCAAAGACACCAACCAATTTACCATAGCAACCATTTTACAATCAAACAAAAATAGCCAAAACAAACTTATATCTAACCTGTAAAGCAAAGAGTTGCTTGTTGTTCAGAACAGATTTAGATTTCTTCAGAAGATCAAGATGACTTGCTGCAATATCGAAATTTGATTTATTTTTTTATTTTTTTCCCTTTTCCATCCGGTTATTTTTGAAACTTAATCAGGATCAAAATTAAACAACCATTACTAATCAAGAATTTAAATAGCTCAGTTCGACAAAAATTAAGAAAATTTTATTGTCTCTTTACTACTCCTAATGATGGAAGATAATAGTACTCTAGCCTTTGCTTTTCCTAATTGCGGAAGCTAGTGGTTAACTGGCTATTTTCATTACAAAGGGGAAACCCAAAGTTCAATGAAGTAGGGGTCATCTAACCGATGAAAAATCTGAACTTCCGATTTTGGTCTTATTCTTCGCAAAATTTAGATTTTCAAAATAATAAATACTTATAACTTGTCTATGGATAAATCGATGGCCGGGAGTATTGACCCCTGATTCATTACATGGTTGGATGTCTTTTAATAATTGCAATAATAATGATTAATGGTATTGAACAAAAATTATATTTAAAAAACACAGACATATGAATCCCCAAAGTGTACCTGAGGTTCTGATAGGTTTATAGTATCTGGTAGAACACAAAATATTACTCTGCTGCAGAGCTGCACGAAGTAAATTTTGTTGCTCATTTCCCTTCTCAAGCAGCTCAATCTTAACAGAACATAAATATAATTATAAATATAAAGTTGTAATCTATGTTTGTCAGTTTGTTTGTCCGATCATAACTCAGGAACCCCTGAACGTATTTGCCTCAAATTTTTATAAGGGAACTCGTGAGAGCAACGGAAATGTTCTTTATATGGTTTTGAGATTCTCAGTACGGGTTAACGGCGGGAGTAACAATGAGTAGTGAGTACCCTGGGAAACGCTAGGTTCCCAAGCTAGTTAAACGTAATTTAGGAAAACTATTAAAAATTAAAAACACACGAGTTTTCCACTTAATTTACTTAACCTTATTAAAATCTACATTTACCTTTAGTTTCTCATATTTGAGAAGATGGGGTATTCTGAATCCTAGCATAGTAAACCATTTTTTACCTTTAGTTTCTCATATAAGAAGATAAGATATCTTGTATCCTAGCATAGTAAACCATTTTTTACCTTTAGTTTCTCATATAAGAAGATAAGATATCTTGTATCCTGTCTAGCATAGTAAACCATCGCCTCAGGCAGAGGCCTTAAAAAATTGGGCTTTATTTAATATTTTCAAACATTTTTAGGGCAAATGAGAAATTGGACATCAATTAGCAAGTTATTCCCCTTTTTCCATACATTGTATCCAAAAAATTAGTTATTTCCCCAATTCAACGAAAACGGTTTCTACTGGGTGGNAATTATACACTCCTGCCTGCCTACCTTATTCTCCAATCTGCAAGCTGATATTGTTTATCAGCGTACACTTTACAGTAGTGTTCTAGTAACCACGCCAAACTTAATCTAAAGAATATGGAATTAATACTTCGTGCTTGAATGTTTATGCGTAAAACCTTAATGTTAAAGAGACTGTAGACGTAATTTTAAGTGATCCTCCATTTATAAAGTGTAATGTCCCTGTGAAAGCTTTGAATGATCCGGGTACCGGTGTGACTCGGATATGCCCTCCTTAAATGGAAGTTCACTTTAGTTTACAACAACACTGATTTCAAGAAGTAGTTTTCTCTAAGTCCAACACTAAGCTTACAAAAAGGAACTTAAAATTAGACACAAACTAAAATTTCAAATTCCCATCTTTGATTGCAACCTAATGGTGTAAACCTTGATATCTCAGAAATAGATAAAAATCTAGCTTCTCTGATATCTAATGAATTTAAAGATATGTCTCAATCCTACCTTGGTAGTCCTAGAAGTTTCCCTGCTTGATGAGTATCGAAAACATTAACAAGATAAACGGAGAAATCTCGCTGTAACCAGACAACATCGCTATCACATCCATGGAATACCTGATTATACAAAATTTAAAATACTTGGAAAACAAGGATAACAATTTCTTTTATTATTTACATATTTTATATTTGTGACTAAAGAAGACAAAAAAACATTTAGCATAGTGAGAGTAGATCGAAAAATATGAGAGGCAATAATTATTTGTTCAGCCTTTCTTTCTCATTATTTCCACTCAACACTCTACAATCAAAAAAATATTTTGTCACAGGTCAAAATGAAGGTCAATGATCTAAGATTAAAAATCTTCTTATTGATCCACGTAGGCTGGATGCAAAATTTCAGCTTCCTATGTAATAATTGAAATATTTAGAACTAAACTCAACCTTAAAAAATTTGGTTTTTAAAAAAAAAGATCACTTGTTCTGGTTTCCTTATGTATAATGAATATTAATTATAATGAAATACTGCAAACCAGAAATATTTCTGAAATACATGTTCAGAACTTGTTTTAAGTAATATTCTGACTCGGGGGGACCGTACATCGCACGCAAAAAAATTTATTAAAAAAAATTAGTTTTCCTTTTCTACATTCTACAATGATTAATACAGGGTATTTTATTCTTGATAAATCTTTCCCCTCTTTTTAAAAATAATTTTTCCCCAAGTATTTTGCCCCCCACCCCCCCAGAGCAACAGGTGATTTTTAAAAACATATACCCCTGCATAATTTCGATGTTTACCTTGACTATGCTGGGGTTGGTAGTAATCTCGTTGAGTAAGTTCATCTCCCCCCAAATATTAAAAGGATCGATCAGATAATCCTAAACGATCATTCAACTCTTTACATGCTCGATTGTTCTACAATTTATTATATTTTAGGATTGTAAATAAGAAATATAAAAAAGTGTACATTGTGCTTAGAACCCATTTAACTTTGACTGTAGAGTGTAGACGTAATTTCAAGTGACATTTTTTCTAAGTGCACACTAGTAACCTCAAAAATCCCAGCTTTTCAGATAAGAATATCTACGTTATCCTTGATCAGTTCAGATTTAAGATTTGTGATTCGTGCATGCAACTCTACGAATGGTGATTGAAATTACGTTTACAATCCTTTAAAAATAATTCTGATTGGTTTCAGTAAAAATTCTAATTACTAAATTTCTGAAAACATGTTAGAAAAATAATTATACCCTAATAAATAAAATTAAGGTTTAACGGGTGCCGTTGTGAATCATGCATGTCACTATTTTTTTCAACAAAAGATTACTTGAAATCAAGGTCTCTTTACTAAAAAAAAGTTGCTAAGAAAGTAAAGTTAATTTTTTTCGAATCAAGTTGCTTTTTTTAATTATAAACCACCTTTTATCTATATGTTTAGGCTTTAGGAGGTTTAAGAGTGATTTTCACGCAAAATTGTTTACCGTTTTTTTCTTATAATTGAATATGTTAGTTAAGCATTATTTTCTTAACGAAAAGATGATTAAATGATTTCCTTGTGTTCTGTAGAAATCTGAATAAGACAAGTAAACCCTAGGTACGATCTGAAAAAAAAAAATTGGTTGAACATTTTAGCTGGTCTTTCGATAGTCTTTCGATGGTCTTTCGATGGTCTTTCGATGGTCTTTCAATGGTCTTTCGATGGTCTTTTGGTGCCACTAAATCGTTGGCAATAATCCTATGTTTGTGTGTAACGTGTGCAGTGTACAGTGTACCTGTAGGAATGAGCTTCTAAGTCAATGGCAATAATGCTATGTTTGGATAGTTCCTTGATGCACTCCTCCAGCTGCTCCTTGGTCTCGATAAAGTCCATGTCTACCCGCTCTACCCCCAGAGGGATCGGTATAGGTCTAAACACAAATTTAGATAGTTATCGATTGACGAAGAAATTAATTGATTGATGGAGAAATAAATTGATCATTTAGAAATGAATTGATTAATGGCTAAATTGATTGATTAAAAAATGAGTTGATTCATCGATAAATGAATTGATAGTTTGAGCACTGAGTTAATTGATTGATAAATGAATTGATTGATTGATAAATGAATTGATTGATAAATGAATTGATTGATTGATAAACGAATTGGTTGATTGATAAATGATTGATTGATAAATTGATTGATTGATTGATAAATGAAATGATTGATTGAGAAATGGATTGATTGAGCAATGAATTGATTAAATAATGAATAATATGATTGGTTGATAAATGAATGGATTGAATGATTAATGAATTAATTGATTGACAAATGAATTATTGATTGATAAATAAATGGATTGATTGATATATGAATTGATTAAGAGATGAATTGATTGATCTGTGTACCTGGGTTTGAGCTGGTCATGGGATGGACTGAACCTCTCTATCTCGAAAAGGTAGGGATGACTGAAGAACTCTCCCCCCACCTCGTCATACTCAATCAATATAGACAGAGGCTTCTTACTGTGCGGCTTTTCTGAAGAGAAATAAAAACTCTTAGATTAAAACTCAAGAGGTATAAAATTAATGATTTTTAAGGTGAAATTAATGAACTTTCTGGAAAAGTTTCAATAAGGGGAGGAAAATTTTCTCGTTGAAATCCAATTTATTAATTCCTGAATTCTTTGATTTTTTAGTTCTTCAAAATATTTGCCCCTGACGTTCATATAAAATACCTTTAAGCCTAGGAGTGAAGGGCTTCTCTGTGTTATCGATGAAAGATTTGAATTTAACCTGATAATAAAATCTGTCATAAAACTGCATTAAAACTTCATCACAAAAACAAAATGTATTGCTATGTGAAGTACTAGTACTAGTACAGGGTGGTAAATACTAAATAGGAATATTAATGGAAAAAATATTTTTAAGAAAAACGCAGCCAGCAGAGGAAATCCAATATTCATTGATTCATGATGTCTTAAGCAGCTCAATCTGATTCATATTTTGAATTAAGTAGGCCCAGGGGTTCATCTGGACAGTTTTTGGCATATTTCATGAACTAGGATATTATTTGTATTTATCTTTTAGGCTTGATTCCACAAGTGGCAAAATGTGTTGTTAAAGTGGTATTTTTTGGGTATAATGTATGTACAGTGTACTGTCCAATGTACACTGTACAGTGTAAAATGTTCAAATCAAATCAAAGCACAGGTTCTTGGGATGCTTAACCAGATTAGTCTTAGATGAACCCCTGAATTTGGCCAGGACAATTTCCAGGCCGAGGGCTGGAGTCACAGATCGCAAACAAGGGAAAAGGAGCCAGTGGCCGAATTTAAAGAATTTGAGCGGCGGTTTAAATTTAAGCCGCGGTTTAAATATGGTTGGTTCCACTTAAAATTGTATCAAATGTTTCAAGATTTAAACCGGCGCTTAATTTAAACCGGTTTTTGGCGGATTTAAACCGCGGATTAAATTCTTTAAATTCCATCTCAGGTTGTTTAAAATAACCTACAGTACATATTTTACATAAATACATCCATATTTTTGTCCAAAGATTGTAAACTAATTATTTTCCTTTAATATTTGTTAAAATAAAGACGAACCTGAGGTCTCATTACATTCCTTGCGGTGAGAAGTTTTACATCATTATCCTTCTTATTTTCAGATTTCTTCTGATTTCTGAAAACATTAAAAATATTAATTCAAAACAGTTATTATAAAAACCTCTGAATGAGTTCTCGAGGAGTAAATATTATAAGAGCACGAAACAAAGTTCGTTATATTTTAAAGAAAATTCATATTCAAATTCAAATTGGAATTCTGTCATTTTTAAACAACCTCAATGAAAGTTTGTAAATGATTTTATGTTACGATTTTGTAAAATAAAATGATAACAAACAGGGGGGAGAAAATAGTTATTCTCCGTTTCCTTTCCCCCTTTTACCATATTTTTCCCCAAATAGAGTTCAGTACTGATATAAACCTGTTAAAGTTGTTCCAGGACCCTGATACTCGATTAACATTGGATTGACTGACTTCAAGCAAAAGAGGATTCACTTCCCGCTTTAGTCCAGCAGCTTCATCTACAAGTACAGGTACAGGTTTGAGTACAGGTTCAAGTACAGGAACACTAGGCTTAAATACAGACATAGGTACAGGTACAGGTATAAAGTACTGATACAGGTTTGAGTACAGGTTCAAGTACAGGAACACTTATAAATACAGGTGCAGGTATAAATACAGATATAGATATAGGTACAGGTACAGGTATAAGTACAGGTCCAAAGACAAAGGTACAGATGAAGGGACAACATATTTTTTATTATTATTGTTATTATTATTACTATAATTATTATTATTATAATAATTCTTCTTTTTAATATAAACATTATTATTAGTTTTACCTAAGTTCATGTTTATTCTCTCAAGAATAGTATCGTTGGTGTCTGTGAGCAGATCAACCAAATCCTCAACCTTTAAATTAGAATAGATTTCTATCTTCCTTACTTATCCCATCATATCTTCATTCCATCATCTACTCATCCCATTATCTACTCATCCCAGTATCTACTCATCCCATTATCTACTCATCCCACCATCTACTCATCCCATCATCTACTCATCCCATCATCTATTCATCCCATCATCTATTCATCCCATCATCTATTCATCCCATCATCTATTCATCCCATCATCTTCTCATCCCATCATCTACTCATCCCATCACCTACTCATCCCATCATCTACTCATCCCATCATCTACTTATCCCATCATCTACTCATCCCATCATTAACTCATCCCATTATCTACTCATTCAGTCCTCTGTATCACTGTTCTCTGTTGTCTAAACTACTTTATCTCTTATCTCATTTGTATTACTGACATTCCGTTCTCTTTTTCACTCTCATTCCGTCATTAATCTATCATACCGTCTTCTATCTGTATTTCGTTATCAATCTCTCATTCCGTCATCTATCTTTATTTAGTTATCAATCTCTCATTCCGTCATCAATCTTTATTTCGTTATCAATTTCTCATTCCATCTTCTGACTTTATTTCTCATTCCGTCATCTATCTTAATTTCGTTATCAATCTCTCTTTCCGTCATCTATATTTATTTCGTTATCAATCCCTCATACTGTCTTCTATCTATATTTCGTTATCAATCTCTCATTTTGTACTCTATCTTTATTCCGTCTTCTATCTCTTATTCCGGCATCTAACTCTCATTCCGTCATCTATCTTTCATTTCGTCAACTATCTCTCATTCCGTCATCTATCTCTCATTCCATCATCAATTTCTTATTCCGTCATTTATCTCTCATTCCGTCATCTATCTCTCATTCCGTCATCTATCTTTTCGTCATCTATCTATCTTTTCGTCATCTATCTATCATTCCGTCATCAATCTCTCATTCCGTCATCTTTCTCTCATTCCGTCAATTTGTCTATCATTCCGTCGACTATCTCTCATTTCATCATCAATTTCTCATTCCGTCATCTATCTCTCATTCCGTCGTCTATCTCTCATCCCGTCATCTATTTCTCATTCAGTGCTTAGTTAATTTCTCATTCCGTCACGACTGAAATAATTCCGTCTTCATTGCTTCCTGGCTTCGTTTTTCCTTCCTTTTCCTTCTTTTACTAAAATTGAACCCCCTTTAGACATCCCCCCCCCACGCTAAAATCAACTCCTCCCCTCCCTAAACCAACCCCACCCCTCTTCCATCCTACATCTCTCCGCACCCCTGTATTACCTGTGAAGAACCAACTCCTGAGTTTATCCCCTGAAAGTTTAACTGCATTTTCAACATGTCGCGCAACTTCCGTCCCTAGATTAGTTAATTTGTTTGGTTTATAATTTTTTACCCCAAAACATGTGCTTAGTACTGGATCCGCTAGATGTGTTTCCCTGGACAGGGGTGTATATTTTTAAGAATGACACACATAAACACAAACACACCCCAAGGGAAAAATTATTTTGATGGTCTATAGGGTGGGGGGTGGGGAATTCAAAATTCGACATTAAATTGCAAATTTTTTCATTCAATATTATGATACTTTTTCCCAAAACATGCATTTATTTTTCACTAAAAATCATTAATTTTGACCAATTCAGCGAATAATTCCTTATATTTTTTTCTGAACTTCTAGTCTAGGGGGAAAAATGATTTTCAGCACACCATGGGGACTAGATATCTCAAGTCGGACAAGTACCATTCTCAGAACCCTCTTATCTTATTCTTATTCTTATTCCCATTTCCATTATTCTTAATCCCTCACCAACCTAGTTCACTAAAAACATCTGACCCTGTTCCCTATCAACGCTACAATGGTCGACTGGAAAGAATGCGTACGGATTATCTATCTATCAGATAAGATTTAGCGTTAGGTATATAGCGGCTAAACTATCAACCCCCAAAGTACGTAATTAGGACGGAATTTGTTCATTCACTCGGGGGATAAGAATGGCCTCTCACCTGAACTGATAAAACCTTTCTGAACTCTGGGAATGTTGAATAGTAATCAAAATCTTCACGCTTCTCTCCTTAAAATATTGTACATTGTATTTAATGGTTAATTTGTTATAAGAAATAATATCGGTAGATCCCCAATGTGGAATACCGACCGCCATCGGACGTTGAGTCCGTTGAGGGACTGTGCCCAAACCCCGATAATTCATGTGTACTGTTTAATGTGTCACGAAAGAAAATATGCAAAAATAGCTTTAAAAAAGTAAAAGAAAAAAAATAATATACGTCCATAAAATAAGATATCTCAATAAAGAAAATGTTCTATGAAAAATGCAGTTACAAATAAAGTTTATAAAAAAACTTAATGAAATCCCTTCTTAGAAGGAGTCCGTCATAAACATAATCGTTAGCCATAGGTATTGGGTTGTATCAGCTATCAATTTTCAATCAAAAATTAATTTAAAGTTTTTCGTCCCCCCTCCCCAAAAAACACTATAAAATTGTTCTTAAACGAGGTGAAAGTATAAATGACGAAGTTATGTACATTTAATATCTATCCTATGCCCAAAAAAAACTTCCGAAGGCAAAAAAAACCTTTGGAAACAAATATTTTTTAAAGCAGTAATTTGTTCTACATATCTTTATCTCTATCAAAATAGATATTTAAACCTTACCACAAATATTCATTTCCACGTGAAAAAAAAGAGATTTTTTTACCTGGAAGATCATTTGATAGTTTAGTAGCGTGGAGGATCTTCTTTAAGTTGGCCTGGGTAAACTCGTCCACGCTGCCGAACCCAGGCAGGAACTCGTCGACCGGCATACTCATCTGAAGCAACCAGACAATGTTAAAGGGACAGCTCACAATTTTGAGAATTTAACACGTCAACGAGGATTATATACGGAAAGGTAACGGATATATATATAGATATAGCATTTTTTATATGTTTTAATAGAAAATACATCTAAAAAGTGTGAACAACCCCTTCAAGTTCAAAAATTTGTCAAAGTATAAAAATAACACGAATATGAACATAAGCACTTTGTGACTAATCTGTGGACAAATCAGAACGGAAACTGATTTTTGTGAAAGATGAAACGAAAAAAAATATTTTTTTAAATACCGATTTGATTAACATTTGTGCAAGAAAAAAAGGGGGAGGGGAATTACTTTTTAAATATTGCTTCAATACCTGGTAATCAGCTAAAAGTTTAATCACAAAAAATATGTTTGCGGACTTCATTTATATTTTAAAAATCTTAGACATGAAGTAAGCACAAAAGGTCATCGAAACTTTTGGGTAAATTATCCCCCCCCCGTCCCCCGTTCCAAGGAACCTTCTTTTCTATTAATTAAACGTCTTTTCCGCTTTTAAAACTTTTGTGCAGGAAATTATTTCTCTGGCCGATAAAGAAACCAATTTTAGAACATTAAACGTCTTTTCCGCTTTTAATGCAGAAATTGTTTCTTTGAAGGATAAAGAAACCAATTTTAGAACAAGTTTCAATATTGAATATGTTAAGCTCTGGTTTACATCCATATTCCAGTAAAAAAAAAAGATTAAATTCATTAAATATTTTCTCAAGGGCCTTGGAACAACTTGCACTTGGAATTCATTAAATCTTTGTGCGTGTTAACTAATTATCGTAGAAAGAAACAAATTGGTGGAAAATTAAGATACATTCTTCTAACAAAGTATATATATATATATACCATCTTTTTAATCACCTTTTTACTAACTACTTAAACCTTTGTCAATCCACCTAACTATGACCCAAGCGTGCATGAAGCAACATGAATAATAAAAATCAAATAAATATAGTTTAGACATTTCAAAAATCACCAAGATGAAGGACTTTAAACTAGCTTTAGGACTTTGGATTGTTTTTAAATAAGCAGATAATGTTCTTGTAACGAAATCCATAAAATTATACTTTTAAATTGATAAAATCGCGGAAAATATTGATTTAGGTGGGTAACATGATATCAGAGAAAACTTGGGAATATGATATTATGAAATAAAATAAATTTAAAATAAAATAAAGATATTTGAAATCTGGAATATATTGTAATTTTGTAAAGCGAAAGGAAGAGAATATTGTTAAAATGCAACGGATAAGTCGAAATATTTATGAATAGAAAGGAAATGAGTATAAACACAAACAGGGATAAAGAAACTGAACAAAAAATAATTTAAAGAAGGAAAATAGAATTTCTTGAGACCCCTATATTTAATATTAGTTTATAATTTGAACACCTAATCAAAATCGAAATCAAATAAATAATTTCCAACAGCTTTTTATAAATATACAATAAGAAACCCAGTTATTGAAAGAAGCTGATTTAACATTAAGCAGCTTAAACTGGGATAAGATTTTCATTTAAATCCATTAGAGCATCTAAAAGTAGCTTCTTTGTGAACAATCATAGCTTCTCTCAATGGCGGCTACTTGAAGACTCAGCATCCCGAAGAGCAGCTTCTATTCTTATTGGGAGCAGCCCGGACATCTGCCTGATGACTGCTGCTGCTGCTGTGGGAAAAGCTGCTGCTGTTTAACCTCCTGTTTAAGTTTTTAATCAAAAATATTTTTTTAAATATAAAAAAAATGTTATTAAGACATAAATTAGTTTTTTCTTTGCTTTTTATGTCTACGCTTTACTTTACTTCCTCCCAACTGAATTTATACCCTAAATACTCTATACTGAGAATTGTGTGCTCTATATTTTATGTAAAGCTCAAGTTAATCTATCCATAATGCTCTATTTTATGCTCTATTAAACATGTGATTTATGGGGCTATATTTTTTTTTTTTTTGCTTTATCCTGAAATTTATTTTTTAACTCTCTCTTTTTTCGGCTTTGAGTACATTTTGTATTACAAAGTAATGAATAAAAAATAAGTTCTCAAATGTGCATTCTCTTTAATGCGTCCCAACATGGGCCAATATTTCATCCTTGAAAATACGTCCCGTGCGTCCTCATCATTGGTACACCTTTATTTGTGCGTCCTGTTTGGCCACAGAGAATATGTTTGAAAATATACTTTTAGATTTTTCTAGTTTTTTATGTTTTTATGATGCTCTAAATATTAGAATAATAAAAACTGTCCTGGACGTTAGTTTTCTCTAATATAGATTCTGCAAGCTGAATAAACGCAGTCTCTACATTTACATTCGTCTTAGCACTCGTCTCTAGAAACCTAGACAATTCAAATACAAATATTAATTTTTCTTTTCATTTTTAATGTTAAATATTCAATCAAAATATTCTGTTTTTTTAATGTATAATATTAAATAAACATTTTTTTTAATGTTTAATATTGTTTTTTTAATTGTTTAATATTTGATAAAAATAAGAATAAGAATGGATAAATGCACTTTAAAGGTTATGGGGACAGGGTGGTAAAGCCCCCCCCCCCACCCCCCTCCGCTAATGACACCTTTTACCCTAAGATTATTGCTATTCCCAAACTAAGCAAAAAAAAAAAAACACTTCATATTTCCTAAGGGATGTATATTTTAATGAAAAATCATCCCCACTTTTCGATTTTTTTTTCAGAATTAGAAAAAGTTTGTATGGAGCAGGGAATAAATTTTAGGGGTTTTTTCCCTTTAGCTGAGGTTAGTAAATTTGTTAATGGAAACCTACTAAACTTTTAGGGTAAAAATATTCAAACCGATTAAAAAAATTTTGATGTCCTTTTTGATTTTTTGCACAAATTTTGAAAAGAGGGGGATTCCAGGAAAAGAATGTTTTTAAGAAAAATTTTACTCCTGAAAATAATGGAAAGAACTAGTGCTACCTGACACTGTGTTCTCTTGCTATAGCATCTCCTCTCTCCTTACTTATAACACGCTTGTCCTCCATATCGCACTTGTTCCCGAGGATCATCCTCTCAACGTCCTGAAAAGATAAAAAGACGTAATTTCAATTGAACCTCCACGGCATGTCCAATTCACAACGGTACTCTTAAAAGCTTCTTCTGATCAAGGGTGAATGCGATATCGATGATTTCTTTTTCAAATATTGTTTATTTACAAATATGGATTGTCTATAAAAATGACTTGCGGAGTTCTTGCAGCAGAAAAAAAAGAAGAGAATTGTGAGAATTTTCAAGCTAGAAAAAGAATATTATTCCATATTTTTTACAATCACAACTAAAGATGTTTCTGAGACCCAAATGTCCATTACTTTTCGTCAAATTTTAATTCAGAAAAACCGGGTTTTTGGTAAATTTTACAAAACGTTCCGGTCCAACTAAATCATTAACGGGCTCAATTCCTTACTATCTCCAATTTCTTTTCATTAAATGTCTAAAATTTATTATATAAAGAACAAATTACCTCATTTGCATGTTCATCAATGTTCCTCAGCCACTTGGCGATATTATCGAATGACTTGGCGTTGGTAATATCGTATACTAGCATTATACCCATAGCTCCTCGGTAGTAGGAGGTCGTAATCGTATGAAACCTTTCCTGCCCTAAACAGAGAATATTTATAATCTTTCCTGTACTAAACAGAGAATACTTATAGTCTTTCCTGTACTAAACAGAGAATACTTATAGTCTTTCCTGTCCTAAACAAAGAATACTTATAGTCTCTCCTGTCCTAAACAGAGAATATTTATAGTCTTTCCTGTACTAAACAGAGAATATTTCTAGTCTTTCCTGCCCTAAACAAAGAATATTTATAGTCTTTCCTGTTCTAAACAGAGAATATTTATAGTCTATCCTGTACTAAACAGAGAATACTTATAGTCTTTCCTGTCCTAAACAAAGAATACGTATAGTCTTTCCTGTCCTAAACAGAGAATATTTATAGTCTATCCTGTACTAAACAGAGAATACTTATAGTCTTTCCTGTCCTAAACAAAGAATACTTATAGTCTTTCCTGTTCTAAACAGAGAATATTTATAGTCTATCCTATACTATAAAGAGAATACTTATAGTCTTTCCTGTCCTAAACAAAGAATACTTATAGTCTTCCCTGTCCTAAACAGAGAATATTTATAGTATTTCCTATACTAAACAGAGAATATGTATAGTCTGTCCTGTCCGAAACAAAGAATACTTATAGTCTTTCCTGTCCTAAACAGAGAATATTTATAGTCTTTCCTGTACTAAACAGAGAATACTTATAGTCTTTCCGGTTCGAAACAGAAAATACTTATAATCTTTCCTGTCCTAAACAGAGAATATTTTTAGTCTTTCCTGTTCTAAACAGAGAATATTTATAGTCTTTCCTGTTCTAAACAGAGAATATTTATAGTCTTTCCTGTTCTAAACAGAGAATATTTATAGTCTTTCCTGCCCTAAACAAAGAATATTTATAGTCTGTCCTGTTCTAAACAGAGAATATTTATAGTCTGTCCTGTCCTAAACAAAGAATATTTAAAGTCTTTTCTGTTCTAAACAGAGAATATTTATAGTCTTTACTGTCCTAAACAGAGAATATTTATAGTCTTTCCTGTTCTAAACAGAGAATATTTATAGTCTTTCATGTTCTAAACAAAGACTATTTTTAGACTTTCCGGTTTTAAATAGAGAATATTTATAGTCTTTCCTGGTCTAAACAGCAAATATTTGTAGTCTTTTCTGTTCTAAACAGAGAATATTTCTAGTCTTTCCTGTTTTAAACAGAGAATATTATAGCCTTTCCTGTTCTGAATAGAGAATATTTTTAGTCTTTCCTGTCCTAAACAGAGAATATTTATAGTCTTTCCAGTTCTAAACAAAGACTATGTTTGGACCTTCTAAACAAAGACTATTTTAGACTTTCCAATTCTAAATAAGAATATTTATAGTCTTTCCTGTTCTTAACAACAAATATTTATAGTCTTTTCTGTCTAAACAGAGAATATTATAGTCTTTCCTGTTCTAAATAGAGAATATTTTCTAAATAGAGAATATTTTAAGTCTTTCCTGTTCTAAATAGAGAATATTTTTAGTCTTTCCTGTTCTAAACAGAAAGTAGTACTAGTCTTTTATGAATTATAATTCTTCTTCACTTCAACGTGAATTTCATAATGAACGTGCTATAAAGTAATCATCGCACTATAAAGTTAAATTAGCTGAATATTATAGCACCGTGCTATAAAGTAAACATCGCGCTATAAAGTTAAAGTACATTAGGAACCGTGTGATATAAAGTTTTGATCTGTTTCCGTATTTTCTCCAAAAATTTAGGATATTTCCAAAACATTTTTTTGGATTGAAATGAAAATAATATTGAAATCAACTCTATATTTTTACTTCTGCTTATTTTATCAAGAAATAGCTATTGAATCCATACGCTATCCGATCCATACGCTATCCGATCCATACGCTATCCAATCCGTATATATCTGATCCTGCGGTTATTCTATAAGGCTGAGGTCCCCATTAACTTGCTGCAGTTATAGAAGGATAAACTATTCTTATCAGTAGACAAAAGTTTCATAAAATTACCTATAACACTATATTTTGACACGACGCGACGTGCTAGAAAGTTCTTGGACTTCAATTTTCTGTAAATCTCACCTTTTTAGATTATATTTTGTTCCTCGCTAAAGCTCGGGACAAAATCAAATCTAAAAAGGCCTAAACCTTCCCGATAAAGAGAAAATTTCTGTCCAAAAACTTTATATCAATACGAACCCAAATAACAGTGTTATAAAAAGTTATTCTGTCCTGAACAATGTATGTGTAATATTTCCGGCAATCTAGATATAAAGAGGAAACGTTACCGAAGCTGGTACGAACCGATAGAAATTTACAGCATTCAACCCCTTTGAGAGTTAGAGGGGAAGGTGATTCCATGTTTACCTGCCGTGTCCCATATTTGCAACTTTATCTTCTTCCCCCGGAGTTCGATTGTTTTAATCTTGAAATCAATACCGATTGTTGATATAAACGTCGTGTTGAAAGCATCCTCAGAAAACCTAAAATATTAAAGGGAATGTAGACGAATTCAAAACCAATAAATTGGGTCTGTGCTAATATACGATTTTTAAACCCCCCCCCCCCCCCCGTCTAGTATCAATTTTTTTCCTGACCAATTCATTTTTAGCAAAATTCTTTTTACTTCATATATACTATTTTAGGGTTAGGGCAGGTTAAGACAATTTCTAGGCCGTGCGCTGCCGCTAGGACAGGCTAGGGGGTCGTGCGCCGAAACTAGTACAGACTAGGGGACCGTGTTACATATGAGATGCATGTACAAAAACTGTAAGGGGGGTGGGGGAGTCCAAAAATGGTAAGATAGGTAATAACCAATAAATTTATAACAATAACTCATTTGCGTTTTATTCAGAATTGGAGAAAAAAGAAAAGGTTCCAAGAATACGAGGTTACTTGGATTGAATGGGGGGGGTTAATTTTTAAAATAATGGATTTCTAAAATTATATTTGAACCACCTACCTGAATAGTATACATGTCTTCCCCACACCAGAATCTCCGATTAAAAGCAGTTTAAAGAGAAGATCATAAGTTTTCTTCGCCATCTTTAACGGACCAACAGAACTAGACAATTAGAAATATTTCAAATCATTTTCAGTCAATAAATCCAAAGGGTCGATTTTATAGTATAGTTAACAAAATATTATTTGTAATGAACAAATTTGAAAGAAGATGGATGGGGGAATCGTTTTCAAGAAAATTACTTAATCTATTTACACATGAAAGATTTAATCAAAGCAAAGAAGTGTTTCATAATTGTTCCTGAATTTGCTAGATAAAAAACTACAATAGCAGATTAGAAAATATAAATTAGAAAATATCACGTTACCTTTCTAAACCAGAAGATTAATCTACCTAGACAGAAATCACTTTTAACAAATATCACTGATTTACAAAGCTAACTCAAAATAGTCAATTAGGCCATTCTGTTAATCTGAAATAACGAGTTTTCTTAAATTGAGAAATTAGATTAATTATAGGAAGCAATTGGCGTCATTCAGTTTGTAAACACCTCTTGGTTTTTTGAAATAATTATTAATTAAAATTTTAAAGGCACTGAAGCCGAAAGATTTCCCTGCGAAAAGTATATGCAACACAATTTATGAAGAAATGCCGCACAACTTTCTAGTTTACCAGAATCTTTGATTGACGACGACTTTGGTGTGAAAACGACATTTGATTTGAAAAGGTAAAAAAATTTGGTGTCATATCAATTGGACTAATGATAGATTGGATTAACGTTCTTTTGGACTAATGTTCATTTGTACTTACGTCCAAAAGGACTATAGGCCTCTTGAACAAATATTTGTTCAATTGAGCTAATTATTAGATTCTTTAAAAATTACTTCCCAACAAGTATTTTGCACAAATAATAACACAGATGTGATATCATTTGAGGTTAGATTACGGTAATTTCTGGGCGAAGCGCTGCGGCTAGCATAGGCTAGAGGGCCGAGCGCTGAGGCTAGGACAGCCCTTTAACTAACCCGAAAACCTAAAAATACGAAAGCCTCTATATAGGTATACATGGTATGTATATTTACGTAGAAATTTGCATGCTCAACTTTTTGGTAAAGAACTTGCGTATACATACGTATTTTTCCATATTCATCATACCAAGTGGTTTTTTTAAGTGCTTAGGTTTTCTAGAAACGCTTTGTTACCATGAAAAAGTGGTATGAAATAAAGGAAATCTATAGCCTAAAAACTAATGTGAGTAAATCCACAGAGTATGGGAAAAGCTGTATTTACAAGTAAAAAATGAACAAATAAAATGAAACTAATGAATCATGGAAAACCAGAGCTCTCAATCTCATGGCAGACACTGCATCTTTCACTCACCTGGTACGACGAGTTATAATCCTCTGTCTTCCGACTCTTGGTCATAAAAAACTTTCATTTCGGTTTTAGCCCAGGCTGATCCTCTTTCCTTTTACCTCATGTCAAGCTGTGTCTCATACCTATTGACTTGAATTTTAATAGAATTCCTGGTCCAACGGTGACTTTGATTTTCCTGGCTTTTAAACATGCATTCAAGGCATGTTTTCTGGGTTGGCATTTTATAATGGATAAATCTCCCTACATGTGTATAGATGAGATTACTTGTTATTTGTCCCACTGCTATCATTAAATACAGTTTATTTACAAGGAAGCCTCTCTCCATTTTTACGAATATTTGCATATACTTTTTACGAAAGTTTAAAAGTTTTTAGGTTTTTATTTTACATATTAACGATTTTTCTTTTTTTCTTTACTTAAAAATTGTATTTTTTTAGAGTTTAAAAGTTTGAAGCAAGCCTAAAAATACATATATTTTTATAATTTTTCGAGTTTTTATTTTTACGTAGTTTTACATTTTTTGGTTTTTTTCTTTACTTGAAAAATTTTTTTTTTTTTTTTTTAGAGTTTATGAATTTGATTCAAATTAAAAATACGTATATTTTTTCATAACAAATAATTTTTCAAAGTTTTTAGATTTTTTTCTTGTATTTTTACATATTTTTGGGGTTTTTTCTTTACTAAAAAATTTTCTTTTCTTTAGAGTTTAAAAGTTTGATGGAAACCTAAAAATATATGCATATATTTTTAAATTTCATACCAAGTAATTTCTTAAAGTTAGGTTTTATTTTACGTATTTTTACGGATTGTTTCGGTTTTTTCTTTACTTAAAAAATGGTATTTTTTTAAGATGGTTTAAAAGTTTAATGCAAACCTAAAAATATGTATATTTTGGTAAATTTCATACCAAAAATTTTTTTTAAGCTTTTAGGTATTTATTTTACGTATTTTTACATATTTTTTCGGTTTTTTCTTTACTTCAAAATTGTATATTTTTTAGAGTTGAAAGTTTGAGGCAAACCTAAAAATATGTATATTTTGGTAAATTTTATACCAAATAATTTTTTTACGCTTTTAGGTTTTTATTTTACGTATTTTTACATATTTTTTCGGTTTTTTCTGTACTTAAAAATTGTATATTTTTGTAAATTTCATGCCAACTAATTTCTCTATGTAAAGTTTCTGTGTATATTACTTAATTATTAAAGTTTAGCCAAAATTACTTGGTTCAGCTAATATTTATTTCTTGTGAAATTCTTACCTAAATATTGTGCAATGTGCATTTTAAGATCATGTCCAAAGTATACGTTGCTAGATAACACACATATATTTCTACACTCTCTTTTATCTATACATTTCCGGTTACTTTTTAAAAAATATATAAGTTTGATTCAATATTCACGTGGATTGAATTAAATCAGAATCAGAAAAAATAGTTTTATATTTAGAGTAGATATTTTAGGTATGACAAAATTGGCCGGCCTATCCTTTTATTGTCGGTACAAGGGGACTGGTTATTCCTGGAGCATATTTAATTTCTAAGATGTTTAAAATATAAAAAATCTGAATAATTGTTCATTGTTTCATGAAGATAAAATATTTAGACTTAATTTAATCTATTTTCTTTGTTCGATATTTTTACGACACTTAGGTATAAAATTGGCACCTTCCTTCTCACAAATAGATGAATAATTCACTCCAAGGTTATAATGCAAGGAAAGTTAATTGTAGTTGGGTAGACTCTGCGTACATATTGAGACCAGTTCTCTCTGGACGGAATTTGTAAGCAAGAATATATGCATATCAGTGTTCGTTTAGTATCCTAGGAGGTTAAAAGCTTTAAATATGGATAATTTTGATAATTCGTACATTATAGGTTCCTATGACCCTAATATTTCATTGATATTTTATATGAAAGATGGATCCCATGTCAGGCTTCGACATCCGTCGTGTTTACATTACACTGCAGTACAATAGATACATGACACCTCTGAAATAACTTTCCTTGCATTAAAACCTTGATTCACTCCAAAATATTACTCACACAAATTTGCATCAACCTTATCTGTTAACTTTTTATTCTGTTCGTTTTGACTTTATAGTTTATTGAAACTGAACTTAAAAGTGTCTGTTTTTTGCATGTTTAAACTTCCCTGAACTATACAAGTGCAAAAAGTGCAGATTTTGTGAGATTTGCGTATCCGTAACTGCACAAAATACGCAACAGGTCGCTACAAAATGTTTTAAAAGAAATCTATTGCATAATTCAACACCTACACAGCAGACTCAAACTATACAATCTTCTCAACATTCACCATTTACACATCCAGGGTGTTCCAACAAGTTATGAAAGTATCTTTAGTATTGAGAATTTTCATTCAGTCGTAAACAGAAGGGCCCCTGGAAAAAAAGAAAGGAGAATGTCCACATTTCCATACAAAGGGAGGGGGGGGGGGGAGTGTTCTGTCCTCGTTTTTAATGATTTCGCTCTGATTTTTGCTCGCAGGCTAGAATTGTGATCTAGTTTTTGAATCAATAACCAAATGGGGGGAAGATGATTTGTCATATATCATTTATCCCGCATTTTTTCAAAAAAAAATTGAAAACTTTTAGATTCAATTTTGTCCCGAGCTTTAGTGTGGGAAGAAATATAATCTAAAAAGGCGAGAACCTTCGAGGAATAGAAAAAATTTAAGTCAAAAAACGTTATACCACGTCGTGCCAAAATAAGAGTGTTATAGGTAATTTTATGAAATAATTGCGCATTATCTTATTTCAATGGCTATTTCTAGATCAAATAAGTTTTAAAAAAAGCAGAAGTCAAAATATAAAGTTGAAAATATTTTGAAATATCCTGAATTTTTTTTTGAGAAAATCCGGGAACCAATCAAAACTTTATAGCACACGGGATATATAATGAACAGCTAATTTAACATTATAGCACGATGATTACTTTATAGCACGGTGCTATAATATACAACTAATTTAACTGTAAAGCACGAGGATTACTTTATAGCACGTTCATTATGAAATTCACCATGAAGTGAGTAAGAATGATAAAGTACACAATAGTTTCATAAAAGATTTTAAATCCCTATATTTATTTTTTTAGCTTTAGAATTACACATCACAACAAATTCTCTGACTGCGCTGTTTCAGAAAATACGCAGTTACGTTCTATAAATTTTGAAACAATTAGTCCATATTTCAATCACAATTGCTGTCTTTCTTGTACTTCAAATTAAATCGAAACAAAGATTTTTGTTATTTCTATAATATGCAAGAAAGAACTAGGCACACTTAACATAAATTATACACCAAATTATAAGAAGGTTTTTATGTTTGCTAATGCTGTGTAGTAGCTGAAGAAGATGGTTAAAGTTTAGGGACATTACTGGTCCAACTTTGTGACCTGATAGCTTCTTTAGATTTGCTTTTATGCAAAATATGAGAAGAATAAATTTATCCATATTTTATCTATAATTTATCAAACATATTAGATTTCAATTTAACGTGAAATTTACTCTAGTTTAACGTGTCTCGTTTTTCAGAACTGTCAAGTTTAGTGGAACACTCTGTATCCTGTAGATACTTCATGTTCAGAACTGTCAAGTTTAGTGGAACACTCTGTATCCTGTAGATACTTCATGTTGACTCATTCTACAATGAGCAATAAGTAAAGAGACCTTATATAATGCAATGAGTGGCAGAAATAAATTAAAATTTGGCTACAAGGGAATTGAGTCTTTGCCACAAACTCAAATTTTCTAATCTCAATATCTTTGCAACCCAATTTCTTAGACCCTAGATAGTTTAAACTATGAATTGTTTAGATGAAATATCAACGGTTTTAACCATCAAGTAATATAGGGATTAGAAAATTTGAGTTTCTGGCGAAGACTCAATTCCTTTTCTAGTTTTTTTTTTAATTTTCTAATCCATAAACCTATTACCCAGGTACCACTGTTCATCTTGCCAGGCAACATTTGCTACATCATGCATGATGTAAACCTTTGATTTTTCAAACTTGGACTGTTTGATCTAACAGAATTTATAGTTTCACATGTCTCAGGTCTACGACATTGTGTTGCAAAGATATTGTGATTGAAAAA